CAGAAACCCCCGCGACACCATGAAGGATAAAGTGGGTTGGATAATGGATGGATGGATTATTCACATCAGCATATATTTATTATTCCTTGTCAATTTTTCACAGATCAGATCTTCTGAAGAAAGGACTGAGGCAAGACTTTTCCCAACTAAATTTCTACAAGCCTCCGAGGAAAAACCTGAGTGAAATGGTATTTACAGAAGCTACAGAACTTCTCAACAAGGGTTCATCAACTGAACCTGAGTCATCAGGATCGCAAGAGACTTTGTCGAGTAGTGGAGAGACAGTTCAGGAAAGTGGTACATATGCAGCACAATGAGGCTGTACCAGAACCATTTATAGTGCAGGTATAACTCTTAAACAAGCAGTTAAGAGTGCCCCTAACATGAGTGCCAATTGGCCTCCTACATCTGAGGATCTAAATATTTCCTCAGCTAGAAAGATTGTGCCAATTGAACTGTATAATTCACTTGCTTGGTGCATAGGTGTAAGTGATGAGTTGACATTATCTAACATGGTTAATGTTAATTTTAATAAAAGTCATTGTTTAAAAACAGAAATATCTTTGTGCCTAGTTTTCATTGTTCAAATTTTAGCTGTGTTTCAGTAATTTCCTAAAATTTTGCGTCCAATATTGTAACTGGTCTGCTAGGTGATAAAATTCACACCACTTTTCATAATAATTAGTTAACCAGACACAAAAGGGTATCTTGCTATTAGAGTTTTTCAATTGAAAATTCAAAGAATTGCAGTTTTCATGTGCAATAAAGATATATTTTGGGAAATTGTGAAATTGTTAAAAAGTGTATTTTTTCATTTAGAATAACTCCTTACTTAAAGCACGCAGAACATTGCTGCTATATAAGCTCTGAGTAAGTATGAATCTCTGTGGGAATCTAAATCCTGAGTCTGATATCCTTAATAATAAAAAAGTTACAAGGGTTTGAAAATGGTAGAAGACCCAAATTTGTCACTTTTTGGGGTAAACTGCCACCTTTGGCACCCATTTTCTCAAATACTGGCAGGTATCCCATGGAGAACTTTTTTTCCCAGCTCGAGTACATATTTAAGATTGGAAAACTGCTATCGAAAAGTAGTCCCCAGGTTAGTGGAGCGAAATCCTATTTCTAGCCTCATTTTGAGCTTTAGCCTATGGCCTAAGCAGAGTATTTATTAAGCATCAGATGGAAAGAGGGAAGGATGGATGCTACTGTTTTTGGCTTGTTTCGGTCCGACTCAGTAACCCCCGCCTTCGGTCTAGTCCGTTCACCCGACACCGGCTCTAAAAGAGATTTGGATTAATCCGATAAAATAGAAAGAGGCGCATTTGCAGGGCTTACTTTTATAACTTTAAGTAGCTTTAAATGGGACCTCTTCCTTTAGCTATGGTAGTTAGCTGCTGGCCATGGCCCAGGTGGGGGCGCAGGATCAATAGCATCAGGAGCAGTATAGCATGTATATGTATAGCATATAGCAGTAACAGGAAGTTGAAAAGGCACCGGCCTGTTTCATCAACTCTGTTGCAGAGTTGTGATGTCAGAAAGGAGTTGCTCCTGTTACATCACTAACTCTTGATCTTAACAGCAGCAAAACTGTGGACCCAGATTGAGGTAGCGATTGCAGGTATTTTATCCTGTTCTGATTTGAACACATTTTGTTGAATTCAGATATATTGTCATTGAACTTGAACTCAATACAAGTCTTATTGACAGGATGAAAAACCAGAATAAAGCTCCCATGTTGCCTCATTGTTTAGCGTTGCTGTTGGTGGTAGTGGCTGTCCACCTAAACAAGTGATTAGTCTGTGTTGTGGAGTTCAAAATGCAAATGGTTGAAACTGATCTCTGAACAGACTTTTTACTTTCTTGACCTGGATTATCCACCTCTGGCTGTGATTAAAGCTTCCTGTTTGTAGTGTCTGATTATTTGATGTTATCTTCAACAAATGCACTTAGTTAAATTATAGCTTAAGAATCAGTTACTTTCATTCAGATTCATACCCAACTATATAGGGATGCAAACAAAGATCAGCAACATTGTTTATTGTTGTTATATTGCTAAAACCCTTCAGATAAGTTCTCTTCTACAGTGAGATTGTGGAAAGGTTTCTTCTTTATATTTTCCAAGCTCTCATAACACACTTTTCCACTCAAAATCATGAATTTTCACCCTTTCTTATAATCCTGATAGAGTTTGATTGTTTTTCTTGCTTTGTATTTGGTTTGCTATCAAGTTTGCTTCTTTTTTGAAAATCATTATGTTGCCTGTAGTTTTTCCTGTTTGTTAAATGAACTCCCCAACCACTCTGCCTGAACATGCCCGGTTCACACCTTATTTCCCTGTAGGCTATTACAAGTTTGAGATAAGAAATGACGGTTACCTATATGCAATTTAAGAAATGATTTACATGTCTTAACTCAAACTAGTTTTGTTTCAGAAAAACTGGATCAAACTGTAGAAGGTGAGGAAAGATGAGGCTAGAAAAGGTTTATGTTATCATTTAGTTTTTTAAATAAGCAGTTAATTAAGCTTTGGTAACTTTGTAAAGATTTTATAAAAGCAATAAGGAGGATCTTAAGGAGATGTGAAAGCATCCTGCTGCAGAAGCAGATCCACAAGCATCTACAAGCTGTTTTACTTAAACCTTGTGAACTATGTATGTGTTGGGAACTCTTCCTCTCTGACCGTTTTTTTTGTACAGATGAGTTTGAACAGCACCATCTCTTTATAGCACTGAGTCTGATGCATTGTGTTCAGACATATGGTGTGATCAATCAGATTACATCAGTGCATAAGGCTGCACAGTGTAAGGCATTTTATTATGAGCTATTAACTTTTAAATCCTGTAGTTTCATCATACAGTTTTAGCTGTAAATGAGTACAATGATGAAAATCGTCCAATGTATGCTGCCCTAAGCAGCACACATGAGCCGGCTCTGAAGACCTGGGGCTCTGCAACTTTAACACAGATTTATCAATAGATTATCTCAGTCTACACAGATAAAATATTCTGTCAAGTTTTACTTACTTTATCAGGTCAGAAATGATTATCTCCTCTGTTGTATACCTCGCCACAGAACTTATGAGTAAAAGGTAGGTAACTGTTACCACAAAATTAGAGTTTGAAATCATCAGTGTTGGTTCTGAATAAACCCTAAACCTGTAAAGTTACAGCTTATGAAATATTGAGTACCAAATTATTGACCAGGTATTATTTTATGGACTTTGTTCAGTCAAGCATTAGGTAAGCTCAGTTACTAAGGATCTTGTAATTACCTAACTAATTTCTGACCATTATCTAATCTTTTTTTTACCCTAAAGTAAAGTGAAACATCATATAAAGTTGTTGCTAAGGAACTAATTATTACCCAGCCAGTACCCGACCATCAACTCATGCTTTGTGTACCCTTAAGGAAAGAGAAACTAGACATCAGTTCCTGCTTAGTTACTGTTTCCCAGGTAACTCATAATAAGGCTGCTCTGGGTGTGCCCCAGTAACGCTTAACAACTCATAATTAGTTCAGTAGACTCTCTAGTAGTTAGTTGAATTTTGTGTTACACACATATCATACTTTGGGCACAAACATGACCAATGGTTGTACTTTGTAAAGATGATAAACCCCATTTTTTTTCATTTTCCTTTCAGATCTGAAATTTGATGATAGAAGGGGTCAGTACGCAAAACCTGATTTGTTAAACAAAACTCAGAGTGGTTTCTGTTCTCCAGAAATGAAACCAAAATGCCGTTTGAAAGAAGTGAAACTCTTTATGTTACTAGTATACCTATGTATTAGAGCTTATCCACAGTCATATAAACCGTAAAACTATAATCTGTAATAATCTGGCCTGATTCCTCTAATTAATTGTTTTCTTTCATCAACCATTTTCCCTCCCTGCTTTAATGATCATTTATTCATTGCACCTGTATGCTTTGCTTTATATTCAGTTCAGCCTGAGCATTCAGCACCAGATCATTGTCTGTCTGTCTGTTGTTGTTTTTTTTTTTGCTGTTTTGCTCCATGGTTAATGTCCTGGATCCTTGCAGCAAGTAGAAAGAGGGTTTTGCATCTGTCTCATCTCCTGACCGTTCAGTGTTCCTCTCCTGCTGAGTCCTCAGGGTTTTGGCCTGAAAAGTGGGGAGGATAAGTTTTTATCCCTGTAAGCCTGGCTCCTAGGAGGAGACCAGTTTAAAGTTTCCGGCATCAAGTTCTGGTTCCACGTCCTGTCTCTGCAACCCTCTACCACTGAGCCTGTCCATCTGTACCTGATCCCATCTGCTCCTGTGCGTGTCCGCCTGGTCACTCTTCCGGATTCTGTCAGATTCTGAACCTGCCTGGGAGCTATAGGCAGCCTGGAAGTCTGGATCCTGTCTCATCGTTCCTGCCTGCTCTGTATCCCTGACCTGGATCGGCTTCCAGCATATCCTCCTGAGCTGCAGCAACGGGGACACTCTGGGTGATGCGCACTGCATCAGTTTTCAGCCCATCGGCTGGATTGCACCCCTTTCCAGGGAGATGGACTCAACTGTTAAATCAGAGTGTCTGAGATTGGGCGGTGCCCCGCCCCCTCCTGCAGCAGCCATGTGGCATTTATGTTTTTATTTTAATAACGTTTTGAACTTTCCTACTGCCTGTCTCAGCTTGAATATTGCGTCCATCTGTCCCATTTTATGACATCATCTCTATAAATCATTTCGTCTTTCTGGTTTTTGTCGAATAAAACAAACATTTTGGCGAAACTGAATTGTCTCCTTATTTGATGCAGATATCAAACTTCTTTCTGATCAAACGGAAAACAGAGAAGATAAGTTTGGTTGTAATAAACAAAGAGAGACTAAAGCGCAATAAACAACTTGTTTCTTTAAAACCAACTCACCTCCCACCTTTTCCTGCTCTATGTGCATTTCCTTGTTGCCTCCCCTTCAGAATGGGAGGTACAAGGGTTGGCACTGGCATGTATTTAAGAGTTGACGGACTCCCTGCTGCCGGCAGAAGTTGTGAAATCAGGCTGATTTCTTTTTTGAAGACGTAAACCTTACAGATTCTTTTTTTTATAGACCTGAAATGGCGCAAAAGAGAGTTCATATAAAAGAAGAATTCTACTGCCTGAGCTGTTTTGATCCACTGAAATACCCGGTGACTATTCCCTGTGGACACAACTTTTGTATAAACTGTATTAAAACCCACTGGGAAGAAGAGGAGGAGAAAGGAATCCACAGCTGTCCTCAGTGCAGGAAAACCTTCAACCCAGGTTTCTCAGAGAAAACCACACCTCTAACAGATGTAGTGGAGCTGCTGAAGAAGATCAAACTCCAAGCTGTTCTTGCTGATAACTGCCATGCTGGATCAGAATATGTGGCCTGTGATTTCTGCACTGGAAGCAAAATGAAAGCAATCAGCTTCTGTTTTGTCTGTTCAGCCTTTTACTGTGAAGGACATGTTCATTCCCACAATGATGATCCTCCTTTGAAGAGAAACAAAGTGCTAAAGCCCTCCAAGAACCTCCAGAAGAACATCTGCTCTCAACATGATGAAGCAATAGATTTTTTCTGCCGTACTGATCAGAAGTTCATCTGTAGCCACTGCCTAATGAATGAACATAGAGGCCACCACACAGTGTCAGCTGCAACAGAAAGGAGTCAGAGGCAGAGAGAGCTGGAGGAGATACAAGAAAAAATCCAGCAGGGAATCCAGGACAGAGAGAAAGATGTGAAACTGCTGAAACTAGAGGTGGACTCTATCAATCACTCTGCTGATAAAACAGTGGAGAACTGTGAGGTAATTTTCTCTAAACTGATCCGTCTCATCCAGGAAAAAAGCTCTTATGTGAAGCAACAGATCAGATCCCAGCAGGAAACTGAAGTGAGTCGAGTCAAAGAGCTTCAGGAGAAGCTGGAGCAGGAGATCACTGAGCTGAAGAAGAAAGAAGCTGAGCTGAAGCAGCTCTTAAACACAGAGGATCACAACCAGTTTCTCCACAGCTACCCCTCACTGTCAGCACTCAGTGAGTCTACACACTCACCCAGCATCAATATCCGTCCTCTGAGACACTTTGAGGATGTGACAGCAGCTGTGTCAGAGCTCAGAGACAACCTACAGGACATTCTGAGAGACACATGGAAAAACATCTCACTGACAATCACTGAGCAGAAGGCTTTACTGTCAGAACCAGAACCAGAACTGGAGCCAAACAGCAGAGATGGATTCTTAAAATATGCATGTGAAATCACATTCGATCCAAACACAGCACATGGGGAACTGTCTCTATCAGAGGGGAACAGGAAGGTGACTTACAATCTGAATGTGTATGGTTATAGAATCCCAGACATTCCTAGCAGATTTAACAAATGTGAGCAGGTTCTGAGTAGAGAGAGTCTCACTGGACGTTGTTACTGGGAGGTGGAGTGGACCGACCCAGTAGTTACTGTCGCAGTTGCATACAAGAACATTAGACGAGTAGATAACGGAAGTCAGAGCAGATTTGGGTACAATGACAGATCTTGGGCACTAGATTGTTTCCAAAATGGTTCACTTTTCACAATAACTAATGGTGCTAATTTGGGGTTTTGGCACAACAATGCCAGGACCCCCACCTCAGGGTCAATGTCCTCCAGAATAGGAGTGTACCTGGATCACTCAGCAGGGATTCTGTCCTTCTACGACGTCTCTGAAACCATGACTCTCCTGCACAGAGTCCAGACCACATTCACTCAGCCGCTGCATGCTGGAGTTATGCTACATTACTACAATGACACCGCTGAATTTTGTCAACTTAAATAGACAGATTCAATTAAGCTCTGAAGTTTAGGTGTTCGATTTCAATTTCAGATCCTCTGTAAAATAAATTTCATTATTACTTAAACAAAGCATGTATACCTGTTGCATTTACAAAAATAAGTACAGTTAATAACTAGGTATTTTAGGTTGTGCTCACTAGCAACTACCAACACAGTGACATACAGCCATGCACACACACTTAGACCTATAGGAAACTTTAGAAATTCCAATTAATATAACAGTCACATTCTTGGACTGTTGGGCGAAGCCAGAGGACCTGGAGGGAATCCCTACATACACTGAGGGAACATGAAAGCAGCATGAAGAAAGACCATGGGACATTCTTGCTGCAAGGCAACAGCTACACAAAATGCAACACCATGCAACCCACTGTTAGCCCTTCTGATTAAAGTTGGGCTGGCACAGCAGTTCTTGGTTGTATTTACCCAAACAGACCTTTTATAGATGCTGATGTGTATTAGTTTTCATTTTATTTATAATCTTAAAGATACAAATATTTGTATTCTTAAATTATCATAGCTGCAAGGACTGTGAACTCATTAACATGGCATACCATTCCCCAAGTTGAAAAAGTAAAACCACTTCTTTCATCCTTATCTTTTTTGCACACATTTTAAGTACTATGACATTTGAGAAAAAATATATTTTCTGTTTGTGGACTTTATCTGATTTAATGTCACCAAACACCTAAAATAAATCTGTTTTTCTCTATTGGTGATGGTTTTAATGATTAAATCCTGATTTGATTAAAGCTTCTTGTTTTCAGATTTTTATTATTTATCTTGTTCTCCCTTTTTTTCACATTTTAATGTCCATTAGAGTTTCTTTCATTTAAATTCATATTTAACTATACTGGTATAGTCAGATCAAATCTGTCTATTTAAAGCAGATCAACTCAGATGATTAACATCTTCTCATCTGGGTAAAACTTTTTGACTTCCCTTCTAAAACTGTGCAAAGTTCAGAATTTTTATTCTTTTTACTTTTGTTTGTTCTTATAATTCTAAAATTCTTCAAAGTTTATTTAAAATAATTGTGTGAATTTTTCTACAAATCAATCCTCTACCACAGAGGGACACAAGACAATTTATTCTTAACCTAAGAATTATCAAAACTTCAAATTTGACCAAAGAATCAGCATGACATAAAACTGTCAGCAGTGCTGAACTGCCCTCCCAGCTTTGTCCAGAGTCCCTAACATGTGGGTCGTCAATGGACAAACTTTGTAGCAAGTCTGATATAAAAAAAAAATTCATATGACATCAAGAATGAAGTGTTTTCTTTGTCATTATGTCCCCATAATGATTGTATTTTTCTGAGACACTAGCTCAAAATGCACTAGTACACAAATATAAGTTGAAAACAGTAAAAGAGAAAAGAAGAATGAGTGTCTCTAATGGTTCAAAATGTAAAACAAACGTCTCCTTTTCCATGTAACTTCCATCCCATACTGTCACACTGAGACACAGGAGGCTTTTAGTTGTGTTCCTGTGGAAGAGTAAAGAGTCTGGTCCATTTCAACTTCTTCACCATGTGGGAGGGATTCAAGGTCTGTGATAGTACAGAGGAAATCTAAATATCCAGTAATTTTATATTGTGATTATTGTATTGCATTTACTTAAATTTAAAATTTTAGTTATTTTGATGTGAAACCCCAAAAAGAAAATAAGGAGTATGACCAGAAAGATGTTGCAGGAAAATTGAAAGGAGTTACCTCAATAAAGCGTTTAACATAGAAACACAAATGCAATATTTTATAATTATTAAGATGACTTCCTTAGTGTTCCAGTGGATGATGTGAATAGAAATACAGATATTGGTCTGTATGTTAGCTGGCCTCTAAAACATAATTTGCAGAGAGAATAACCTTTTTTCAGAGAAAAGTTGACCAGGATTATTTGTTAATGCCTAGTATTTATCCAACATATCAACATTGTCCATTTTTATAATAGCTTTGCTCTTTTTTTTAAGCACTAGTGTCCGTTGGAATACAAGCACATCAAAGGATCTTTATAATGACGTTCAAATGTCCTGATTAATAGTTTACAGCACTCTTTGCTTACACTGTTGCTGTTTAGCGCACATTGGGATGTAATCTAACCTGGCCAGGCCCAAATACCTGGATGAGTGAATCTGATCACCCAGGCCTGCTCCTTGACACATGATTTGTCTTTAACATATCAGGAGCAAAATTATTATTTTGGGGTGAAAGAGAAAAAAAATACACTTCCAGCATCAAGTTGGATGTTAGGAAAATAACTGCAATAATGGAGTGTTTCTACCATAGAAGGAGGTCTAGGAATATTGGAGCTGATTCTATAAAGGCTTGGCAAAGCTAGTTTCTCTATATAATACAATTCAGGACAAGTGTTTTACATGAATTAAGCAATAGGGAAAATAAAAGCAGAATTAAAAGAAAAAAAAACATAACGGCAGGTAGTAAAGCAAATAAAATTTAGACTAAAATCTTAAACCAGGTATATATGATATAAATACACAGTATTACTTTAAATGAAGCTCTAGCGGAAGTTCAATTGAAGAAACTCTGACTTACCTCCATCAATCAGAAGCTGATCCGTCTCCGAAGCGAGCCAATCAGCTTCGAACTACTCCACCACGAAGCCCAATCAGCAACCTGCTTCCACTTTATAAACTACTTTCAAATCTCACCCCAGCCGCTATCCTGCAATCGCAATGTCGGATTTCAATTCAGACAACAATTCACCCACCTTTATCCCCTTCTCCGCCATCGCAGCTGAATCGTCCTTCATGACACGACTTCACCTCAACCTCATCAGAGAGTATTAATCCCAGTTGTCACCATCCCTCGTCTCATCGCATTGGTCCGGCAGAAGACCACCATGTTGAGCCCGGTTCTGCCAGAGGTTTCTTCCCAAAGGGGAGTTTTTCCTCTCCACTGTCGCTTCATGCTTGCTCATCATGGACAGTTAACGGTACCTGCATCACCGAGCAGGACCTCTATATCCTGAGTCTGAGTGAAGCCCCGGCGTCAGCTCCCTCAGTCTTCTAGTCCCACAATTCTGCCCAGCAGATCACCTTGTCAACCAGCTCGGATCAAACCACCACCAGTTTCAGGCCAGGGGGAACATCCCTATTCACATTCATCTACTCATGCATGTTAAAGCATAAATCAGCATGAATGTTCCTGCCGAGGTCTGAGCGCCAAAGACTATACTTTCTTATCAATAAATTCTTCTAATTATCTTTTCTCTCTGTGTGAGTTTTTCAGATTGAAATGTGTATGCATGAAGTAACAATTTTTTTTTTCCCCTTGTAATTACAAATGTTGTAAATTGGCTTTACATAAATGAGTTGAAGTGAAATTATCAAGAAATATGGATTACTCTGACTGTTTTTTACCATGTTGTCACTGGAGTCTTGAAACATATTAAGATGACATTTCACTTGAAACAGTGAAATATTAAAACAATAAAAACTATGAATGTTAAAGCAATGAGTACTATTCTATACTTTGTTTTTGTTTTTTTTATAAATGCTCCCTTGAAACTGAATTTCCAATACTTCCTTGTCCCCTCCCCCTGTGTGATGAGGGTCAAAGCTGACAGGTTGCTTTCACACCACACAACAACACCTCTTCTACCTCTGAGTCATTACCTTTTTCTATTTCCAAGATAGGAAACTTGAATTGTATCTGTTTTCCTGAGGTGAAATGGAGCTGTAAAGAAATCAGTTAGAGCAAGAATCATCCTCTTGTTTAACCTGTCTTTGTCTTCATAAAAGAAAGTCAGGGCAGGTTTATTTATACGGCACATTTTAGTTGCAAAATAAGTGCTGTACATTGGACAAGTTGACGAGAAGATTATCAATACATTAAATAAGTTGAACCGGAAGTTGTAGTTAATTAATAGGCCATTCAAAGGGAGGTTAAAACCAATTAATGAGTATTAGCTGAATGATTAGAACTGTGATTTGCTTCCTCACCAGGGTTCTTAGCTTTTACATAAAAGGTTATACTCCTGGACCAGCTGTTTTTGTTGCCTTCAACAAATTAGTAAATTAGACTACGGCTATCAGCGAAGTTATCAATTAATCACTATCGAGAGATATCTGTCTCTGTTCATTGAGATCTTACTGAAAGAAGAGAGAATCTGGCCTGAGTTATAAACCATGCAATGTATAAAATAACCACAAAAGGCCACTGGTTAAAATACAATGGTACCTTTATAATATCAGAGTATTATTATATCTAATACCCAAACACTAAACACTACTGAAAATATTTAATAGTTAATAAAATAAATCAATGGAGAAAAAGGGATTTAAAAGTCTGCTCAAGGGTATCTGAGGAATGTTGAAGTTTTAAGACTTAACTCATTTAAGGTGTCCTTTAAAAATAGCAGCAGAAAATGTGGATAAGCCCTGACAGAAATATTAAATGCAGTTAAAAAAGTGCAGTTTCATTTGGATTTGGATTTACAGCAGTCTTAATTCTCTAAAGGAATGTTGTAACAGTTACTGACATCTAGTGGTTAGGTTGGAGATTGCAAATATCACAATATTCCAACTGCTTTTAATCAAGCGAAAAATAATTTTTGGATCAAATTCCAGTCATTTAAAGAGTTTCTGATATATTTGATCTTCTAAGTATTTATATGATACTTTCTCCTTTATTGGCTACCTTTTCATTGTCTCTTCATTAGTCACTTTCAAGGTAAATCTATTTAAAATCATTCTGGTATTCTTCATTTCCTGAAGGTGAAAGAATCATTTTTTTGGAGTTCAGGTTATTTTATTAGGTCATTAACTTTGTTTTGAGGAAAAAACTGCTAAAATTGTAAT